TGTTTGCCCCGCCGCAGGCCACCCCGTGCCCGTGCGCCTAGACGTTCTGCCTCAACCAGCAGCACCTCCTCATCTGGCTCCAATGTGTCATTATCGGATAGAGAGGACAGCACCGGCGATGAGTACTCTCCTCCTGAACCCGAGCGCATCATCAGCCCTCCACGCTCGCCTTCACCGGCCGTCCAAGGCCATGTTGCCCGGCAGCAGTCTGCCGAACAGGGTCCTGAGCTCTACGGTGGGAGGCGTCTTTTATCTGGCCTTTTTTGGAGCTAACTATAAACAAAGCCAAGTGTCTCTCAAGCCCGATGCTCTGGCAGCAAGCCGTGCTAGTGTTTGATACACTCAAAAGTGGAGTGTGGATCGACCTGGCCATCCTCAACTTATACTTGTACTACCGCTGGACGCGTGAGCCCCACTGCCCGATCCGGTACATCACTCACGATGTCATGGGAAACTGGCATGGAGTTGGCTCTGCCCCCTACACCGCCCGCATGGAAACCTATACCATTCCAGCCTTCCGGCACAACTATGGATTGCCCTCTGTAGGCGACCTGCCTGTGGTTCCCCTCATGTTTGCCTGTTTGCACAGGAACCACTTCTTCCTTGTCCTGATGGATCACGCCAACCATCGTATCTGGGTGATCGGCCGCAGCAGCAGGTCGCCCGCCAACAAGAGGGTCGCCTCTGACCGCTGGTCCGAATGGGATGGTCCTGAGGTCTACAAGCACATCTGCTGCCTTCATGGCTGGGATGCTGGTGACACCGACCTCGTGCGCACATACAGTGTTGTCCTCCCACAGGATGGCGTGAACTGCGGCCCCGTCGCCATCTGCACCGCCCTCTGGCTCTTCAAGCATGGTCTCCAGCTCAATACTGATGACGTCCTCAGCCTTCCTCCTCCCATTTGTCCTCATCTCATCCGTCTCGCTGTCCTTCTCGAGGTCTCCCGCATGGTCTCCATTTGCAAGACCGACTTCGAACGTCTGAGAGAAGACAGCCCGTTGGAGTGGAATCTTGACTCAAATCCCACTGGCCAGCCCAACATGGAATGGGAGATCATCGAGGAGGTCCGTGACATTTTGCCACACATTTTGCCCAACCGCGTCATCCACCACCCGGCCTACACCAGCCTGCATGCTGCGATCACCCTTTGCTCTGATTGCTCTGCCGCTGGGCCACTCTACACGGCCTATATGCGCGTGCTCCAGGACGGTGGACATGAAGGACCAGACCTCATGGATGTCGACGATCCCATTCCCAAAATGGCTGTCCAGGGTGGCCTTTGCACTACACGACGGGTCTGCCCTCTCTCTTCCCCTAACGTCAATGAAACTGGCGCCTCTCCAGAGCCTCTCGATCTGGTCATCGGCCGTATACGGCGCCATCATGCGAAGTACAAGGAGATCAAGGATGTGTCCCTCAGCAACCCAAAACGCTTTCCTAGGTTGACTGAGCCCCTTCCCCTACCTCCCTTCTATCAGGAGACTTGGATCAAGCATAGCGACACCTTTGACGACTACCACACGGGCCCTACCCGTGAAGAGATGCTCGTTGAGAACAAGCAGCTCGGTGACATCCACGCCATGTACACCATGGATCCTATTGCAACCTACATTGCCTCCTCTAGCTGGACACGCTTTGCCGACCAGGGCATGCGTCTGCTTGCCGGCTATGCTCACATGCACTACCTCAGGGAGCCCTGGGAGGTCCATGCACACATCCTTCCCTGCCCTCGTCCAGCCCCTCACCCCTCCCAGTACTACCACCAGCTCTACCAGCAGCGTGCCCAGGACGAGTTTCTGAAGAAGATGCGCTCAACGGCGGCGGCATTTGCAGGAAACCCTGTCCTTGACTTTGTTACCCGTGTCCCTCCAGACATCGCCTTCATGGGGCTCGAGGACATGCTGCAGAGTTACCAAGAAGGCAATCCAGCCTGCACTGAGAACTGGGACCTCTTTGTGCGTGGATTCACCCCGACCAGAAGCTAGTCTGCCTTGATCTGGAGCGCGACTCTGTGGACGTCCCTGTTCAAGACATCCTCGTTGACATCGACATCGACAGCATCATA